GGGGAAGTAAAATGAACTGTGAATGTCTCTGGCCTGTCTTTACCATAGAAATTCTATTAGGTGAGTGATTCATAACCTTGATTTCTTCTACATAATCAGCACCAATCACTCCAGGAGCAACAAAGACACCCTGCATGGTGGTACTACTTTCACCCAGGAATAACCATACAGTACCTTCCAGCAAAGGCCCATAAACCCCAGTAGGGAGGGTCTACATCCCCATTTCAGGAGTTAAAACTGCATGGATGGAAGACCTGAGATCTAATCCAGCACTACCTGGGGCTGCTCTGTAGAGGTCCTGAATGAATCTCTTTGTTGCGGGAACAGACTTCAGAATCACCCCCAAAAACTACTCTGTCAGGGCCTGGGGTTGGCCCCTCCATCCGTTTCCCTGCAGAGGATTCCCCTGGGCATCCTTCCTTGATAGACACTCATAAACCCAATGTTTCCCTCTCTTGCAACTCAGGCACAACCCAGGTTCCTTATTTACTCCTACACCTTTTCTCTTATCAGGATACCAATTGACCTGGTGAACCATCTGACCACACCTAAATCAACTTCCAGGAGATTGACTATCTCTCCCTCACCTCTGGCCATGATTTCTTTGTTGTTAGAGAATACCCTAGGCTGTCTTTCCCTATAATGCAGCATCCATAACTATCCTCTGATTATATGAGGCCCAATACCTGAACAAAGCAGAATACAATCAGTTATGTTGCTGTTCATTCTAAAAGGTCTCAAAGTAGTTTGACAGACCACATTGGCATTTCCATAGGTGAGCTGATTAACAAGCAAAACTCCAGCTTGCGAATCTCCAATCAACCTGCCTGTTGTTTGCATTAGCCTAGCGACAAAGTCCTGAAATAATTTATTAGGTCCTTGCCTTATCTTTGTTAAATCCTCTGTCTGCCTTCCAGAAGACAGAAGCTTATTCCAGGGCTTCCTGGCATCTGCATTAACCTGGACATACACTGCCACATCAAAATTTAACTGCTGATTTGTCTCCCGATAAATGCCTTCTCTGGCAAGCATATCAAAATACTGGGAATTTGTTGTGCCTGATTTATATCAGCTATGACTTGACATTGTTCCACAAATTCATTTTTTCACAACAAATAATCCCTTCCTGGCAGGTAAGCTCTTGCCATGTGTTTTTAGTCCACAGGAGGCAAGGCTTCAAGAGTCCTGTTTTCTAGCAGAGCCTGAGAAAAGGGGGCAACAGGTCCATATTGACAGCATCCTGTTTTAAATTCCTAGAGTTCTTTAACTGGAATCAGCACATCTTGAAAGGTGAAAGATCAGAGGAATAGAACAAGGCAACCACAAGTTCTTACCACTAGGAAAACCTCAGTTCAAGAGCTCTACTACATGTATACTAATTCGTTATATCCCTTTCTGTGCTCTGACATCTTACTTCCTCTCTCCACCCAGATACATCACTACCTCTTTCTGCCCAGCTCTATCATTTCCTATCTGTCTGTATAAGAATCCAGGAAAGGTAGTCTGAATCTTTCCCTACAACCTGGGAAACACTAAGAGAATCTGGATATAGTTAGCATGGCCGCCCATGGACACCAGGGCAGGTTAGAAGGCCAAGAATTCATTTAATGTGGGTGCCCACAGAGACCCTAGATTATTTCTTGTTTTCATCTTCACTCAAGGTCAGGGAGTCTGAGCTTGTTTTTCAGCCCCCCAAAAGGCTGCATAATAGGATGCTTTGGCCAACTATGTGGTTACCAGGTGTCTTATACTTCAAAGCCTAATTACAGCATGCTTTGCCATAAGGCGTGGTCACCAGATGTCTTGAGTACTAAGGAGGTGTTTACAGTTAACTGTACTTTGTACCTTGAACCGTGATGTCCTTGAAGGGGAGAGGTCTTTTCACCCCTCCTCTTTGTTTTGTGTATTTACAGGCTGTGAGAAATAAAACTCCTGTTTGTAGTATTGACCCAGAAACCTCCCACAGCCATCTTGTGTCTCTGTCTTTTTCCTCATCTATGGCTCTATTTCATAGCTATCACTTCCCAATTCCACACCCCGCTCCCTTTAGAACTGTTCATGTAGTCGAAGACTGTAGCAGGATTGTTGTTCCCTTTAGGGGAGAGGGCCAAGTAGGTGCAGAGGGCCAAGTAGGTGCAGAGTCAACAACACAGACTCTGGGAGAATGTCAAAACAACAAGCGTAGTTTATTCAGGAAAAGGCAAGCCTTCTATACCCTCTACCCCACCTTGAGGGGAGGTCTGATGAATATGCATCTGGTTTGATATGGCTGCCTCTCATTGGTCCAGGTCATCTCCAGATCATGTTTCAGCTGCTGTTTGTTAAGGCCCTTAGGCAGACCCAGGTTGGCTCTCAGAAAATTTGGGGGTTTTGTTTGTTTGTTTGTTTTTGATTTTTTGAGACAGGATTTCTCTGTGTAGCCTTGCACCTTTCCTGGAACTCACTCTATAGCCCAGGTTAGCCTTGAACTCACAGAAATCCACTTTCCTTTGCCTCCCAAGTGCTGGGATTAATGGAGTGTGCCACCACCACCCAACAAAAGTATCTTTTTCACTTGTTTAGGCCAGATGGCCTCAAGCCTGTTAGGGATAAGTCATCCTACAGAGCAGGACTTGACAAATAAGGTTCCTGAACTTGTGGCACTCTGAATACAGGGGAATCCAGTGATGGAACATTGAAGATGAAGAGAAGATGAAAGGAATACTCTGGGTGTCAAAAGTGCAAGTGCAGTGAGGAAACTCAGGAGTAAAATTGTAAATATGGGGCAGAGTACCAATAGACAGTCATTTGTGCATTAGCTTGGAGATAATTTGAAAGCCCAGAGAATTAAGGTAGAGCAGCAACAAATACAGAAATTTTTAGAGGTTGTAGAGGAGCTGTGTCCTTAGTGTTCTGACTAAGGGATCTTGCATGCAGACTCATGGGTGTGGTGATGTTTTATTTGTGCTCTAACAATAAAGCTTGCCTGAGGATCAGAGGACAAAGTCAGCCACTGTATTAAAGATGGAGGTCAGGCAGTGGGAGCACAAGCCTTAAATCCTAGCATAACGGAGGCAGAGATTCATCTGGATCTCTGTGAGTTCAAGGCCACACTGGGAACAGAGCCAAGTGTGGTGGCACATGCTTTTAACCCCAGCACTAGTTAACCAAAGAGGCACTTCTTCAAATACAGATTCCAAGTACATTCTATAGAGTATGGTGCATTGTGGCAAAGCTTTGGCCTTCAAGTTGGTTTCCACTCTGGAGTTCACAGTCAAATATTTGACAGACTCACAGTCAACATCCCTCTTCATAGATATAAAGCATACAATGTGCATCAAAATTAATTCCTTTTTTCTTGGAAACAAGATGAATAAATAATTATGAACATATTGTGCATTCTTTTACATTATAATACAACAAAATTATCTGGGATATGTAAACAACCTAAAAAAGTGGCAAAAATGGATATTTTCTACAAAGGGAGAGCAAAATCTCTGCTCAAAATTATGTGTGCTTGCTGTTTTATTTTTAAGACACTTGCTCACTATGTCAAATGAAACAAAATTATAATGAGATATTGTTACTGCTTCTAACTCCTTCACCAGGAGAAATAATTTTGAGATTGGAACCAACCCTTGCCTTTGGAATAGTCACACTGAATCATTGATAGTGGTTTAGCTCTGGATGATGAGTAACTATTTGCCTATTCAACTTCCCAAAAAGGAAAAGTTCATAACTGTTCAAATGTTTGTAATGAAAAATTGATTTTTGTCAACAAAATGCACAAAGTTGTACAGGTAACAACCATAACTTCTGGATCATAGGGTTAGGAAGGACACAAAGGAGACATCTATTAACCTTATCTGGTTTCTGTTTTTTTCAATTTCCCAAATCCATCTCAGTCTGTATTATTAATGAATCAATATTAATCTGACAAAAAGTGGCATTGTTCTTACTTTGAATGGGAGGCTCAAGCAATGACTTGGACACAAAACTGACACTCTCTTGGGCCAATAAAGAGGAAATCTCTTTGATGGATAGAGTTGAGTGTGATGTTGCCATTTTATACAAATGAGAGCTTCCTTCCTAGGCCAATCCTAGGAATGCTGCTTTGGGTCAATTTTATTGTTAAAGTCCTCTTGCTTCCTAGTGACCTTTGATGCTCTAACATGGAAACAGGTTGGCAGAGTCAAAAACAGGACTGTTTGTGAAAGATATTAGGAAAGCTGTCCACATGAGTTTTATTAATAGTTAAAATATTGATTTATGGGTTGTCTTAGGGTTTCAATTGCTGTGCAGGGACACCATGGCCAGTGTAACTCTCACAAAGGAAAAACATTAATTGGTGTGGCTTACATTTACAGAGGATCAGTCCATTATCATCATGGTGGGAAGCATGGCAGCATGCAGACAGACATGGTGCTGGCTACATCTTGATATGCAGGCAACAGTAGTAGACTGTCTCACTGGGAGTAACTTGAGCCTAGGAGACATCAAAGCCCACTCCCACAGTGACACACTTCCTCCATCAAAGCCACATTTTCCAGTAATCACACTCCCTTTGGGGTCCATTTCCTTTCAAACCACCACACAGGTCCAGATTCAAAATGGTGGTGATAGTACCTGGGTTTCGGAACTGTTGGGTGGGTCTTGAACACCACTCAAAAAGGGAGCCCTCAGCTCTGATATGGAAGGCCCTCACTTGTTTCCTCACCTGCCCTCAGTAATTCACATGCTAAAGGTTTTCCTCAAGTCACACTGTTAACAACACAGGGGATGTAAGTTCACCACTGCTACCATCTCTGCATCAGGACCAAGCCCTTTGCCTGGGGAGGAGATAACTATACCCACTCCCGTAACTTTCCTGTGACTCTGCTTCACTGGACTATGACGATGAGTACAGAACTTGACCCACAGCTGTAGCAGGGTATTTATTTACACTGTGTGAAGATGTGTCTGTGATTTGCCTCACCTGCCTAAGGCACCTGAATGGCTAAATAAAGAGCTGAGCTGAGAGGGCCCGGAGCTGCTGGGCAGGAGCGGCGGCGCCGCCATGTCCGACAGCGAGAAGTTCAACCTGGACTCCATCATCCGGCGCCTGCTGGAAGTGCAGGGCTCACGGCCTGGCAAGAATGTGCAACTAACAGAGAACGAGATCCGTGGTCTGTGCCTCAAATCCCGGGAGATTTTCCTGAGCCAGCCCATTCTTCTGGAGCTTGAGGCGCCTCTCAAGATCTGTGGTGACCTCCATGGCCAATACTATGACCTTCTAAGGCTGTTTGAATATGGTGGCTTCCCTCCAGAGAGCAACTACCTCTTCTTGGGGGATTATGTGGATCGTGGCAAGCAGTCTTTGGAGACCATCTGCCTGCTGCTGGCCCATAAGATCAAATACCCTGAGAATTTCTTTCTGCTTCGTGGGAACCATGAGTGTGCCAGCATCAACCGCATCTATGGCTTCTATGATGAATGTAAGAGACGATACAACATCAACTATGGAAAACCTTCGCTGACTGCTTCAACTGCCTGCCCATTGCAGCCATCGTCGATGAGAAGATCTTCTGCTGCCATGGAGGCCTGTCTCCAGACTTGCAACCCATGGAACAGATTAGGCGTATTATGCGGCCTACAGATGTGCCTGACCAGGGCCTACTGTGTGATCTCCTGTGGTCTAACACTGACAAGGATGTTCAAGGCTGGGCCGAGAAGGACCGTGGTGTCTCCTTTACCTTTGGGGCTGAGGTGGTAGCCAAGTTCCTGCACAAGCGTGATTTGGACCTCATCTGCCGGGCACATCAGCTTGTAGAAGATGGCTATGAGTTCTTTGCCAAGAGGCAGCTGGTGACACTCTTCTCAGCTCCCAACTACTGTGGCGAGTTTGACAATGCTGGTGTATGATGAGGGTGGATGAGACTCTTATGTGCTCCTTCCAGATCCTCAAGCCCGCTGATAAGAACAAGGGGAAGTATGGGGAGTTCAGTGGCCTGAACCCCGGAGGTCGTCCCATCACCCCACCCCGGAACTCTGCCAAAGCCAAGAAATAGCCTCCATGTGCTGCCCTTCTGCCCCAGATGATGGATTATCTGTACAGAAATCGTGCTGCCATGGGTCATTGGCCCCCCAGGCCCACCCGTCATGGAGAACACACAGTGCTAAGTGTCTTTTCCTTTCTTTTGTTAATGAATCAACAGCAGCATCTAATCCCCCAGGGCTCCCTCCCACCAGCACCTGTGGTGGCTGCAAGTGGAATCCTGGGGCCAAGGCTGCAGCTCAGGGCAATGGCAGACCAGATTGTGGGGCTCCAGCCTTGCATGGCTGGCAGCCAAATCCTGGGGCAACCCATCTGGTCTCTTGAATAAAGATCAAAGCTGGATTCTAAAAAAAAAAAAAAAAAGAACTGAATGGCCAATGACCACGTAGGAGAGAACAGACAGGACTTCTGGGCAGAGAGAGGAATTCAGGATTAGTATCTAGCCTGGCAGGAGAAGCCATTGAGACACAGAGTGAATTAAACATTCAGAGAAGAGGTAAAGAGCCATGTGGCAGAAAGTAGACTAGTAGAAACAGGTTAATTTGTGTTATAAGAACTAGTTGGGAACAATCCTAAGCTAAAGGCCAAGCTCTAACAATTAAGAATAAGTCTCTGTGTCATTATTTGGGGACTGTCAATTCAAAGAAAGTCCAACAACAAAGACTCGATGCACACAGCACTGATTTGAACTATTACTCTGGATGTGGACCTGAAAGCCTGAGGGTTTAAAAGTCACTGTTCCTTATATCAAATGACGACCAGTATATTTATTGGTCTTCTATTCCTTGGCTTATGCTAGGAGATGATGTAAATAAGCAACTTAAAAAAGGGGAAAAAATTCATTGCTAACAAAGGTAGCACAAGTCTTTAATCCCAACACTCAGAAGGCAGAAGAGTTTAAGGACACCCTAGTCTACAAAGCATTTTCCAGACCAGCCAGGGTTCACCGTGAAACCTTCTCTCAGAAAAAAAAAAAAATCCTACAATCGGTTTGCAAAAATACAAAATTTATAGTACTAGCAAGAATATCTAGAAAAGGAAGATGATGAAGCAAAGACATATTGCAACTACGAGATTCATTTTGTGGGGAGTTCTATGCAAGATAATTTTAAGTGAAAAAGATAATACAAAGTGGTATATACACAAAACAATTTAATTTTAAAAGACTATTGATGTATAGTCATACTTTGTTTTAAGCAGTAAAACATGATCACTTTCTTTTTCTTTATACTGGTCGTATTCAAGATAAAATAAAATGAGCTCCCTGTTTTAGGAAGAGTGCTATCTCCTGGTTCTATGTGAGCCAAGTCTTAAAACGGTATCATTTTATCATTCTCTACAGAACAGAACGTCTCTGTTTAAACATTGGGAGAACATAAAAATGTTTTTCAAGTTTGTGGATCAATAAGAACTCTCTGCTTGGCACTAAGTTCAAAAGGTAGAGCCCCCAAATCACTAGAGGATGAAGGGAGGAGAAGATGCTTAAATACTGGGCCTGGCTGCTCTGGGCAGCTGGTGAGTTGATTCCCAGACAACATGAAGGCTCTCCTCTCTCTGGGGTTCCTCCTGCTTTCTGTCAATGTCCAAGCCAAGGTCTTTGAGCGATGTGAGATAGCCAAAGTTATGAAAACACAAGGACTGGATGGCTTCGCAGGAATCAGCCTGGCCAACTGTAAGTCTCCTCGTCTTGACCCCTCCATACAATCACCCTCTACAGAACAGGTACAAGGAAGCAATCAGTGAGCAGAGAGGGAGCTGGAGTCAATAGTTTTTAGAATTCCTGCCTGTTTGACTAGTTTGATTAAAAACATCAGCGTTCATCTTTTCCATCAGAGATACTGAAGTGAGGGCATGGGAGGGGACATCTTCCCAGGCTAAGGCAATAGGACCTGAGGTGTTCATGGAGAGTCACTAGGTTTTCCAGTTGTTTCGGACTCAATAGCCCACAGGGGGTGAGAAAAGATGGGAAGACTCACTCATTCAGAGCTTGAGTTCTGAGAGCCTGGGGTGACTGGGATGTGTCTTCATTTCTCTGACCTTGGTATGGACCTTTTGAGAAAAAAAAAATTTCAAACCTTTTGAACTTCCTATGGAAGGTAGAGGGATCTTATTCCCCCAAGTTGCTGCTAAAGTGAGGTTTTCTGAAGCTGAGTATGAAGTGACTTGGTACTCTTCTTCACTCTGGGAAGGTCTTTCTTTTTGCACAATGGAAGAGGTGAATGAGAAAAGTTGTTCATGGCCTATGCCATCTATGTCCTTGCAACTAGTGTGCTTTTCAGATTCGATGAAGGTAGTTACTACTCAATAACTGTCCATGAATGAGTGAGTAGATAATGTATGTGTGGGTGGATGGATGGATGGATGGATGGATGGGTGGGTGGATGGATGGATGGATGGATGGATGGATGGATGGATGGGTGGATGGATGGATGGATGGGTGGGTGGGTGGATGAATTTGCAGAATAGCCTTTCTTGTTCTAATGTTCTCACTCTCAATATTCTTATCAGCCATTTGTGATGGTACACACTCCTGAAATCCAAGTAAGAGATGGCATGTTCTGTGCCAAAGTTGTATCCACAGTGACACAGAGAAGAAAAAGAATTCTAACAAAACATACAAATTCACATTGGTTATAAGAACATA